TTATTTGTAATAGATCGAAGGGTTAGCAGTACTAATTAAGTGTATCCATATCTTATTTATCTGGATGTGATGATAGCAATCGAAAAAATATCGAAGTACAAACCCTCCGCTTGAGTAAATTAACATTTGTCGAATAAATATCATCATATTGGCGGCTTTTTGTGAAGATTGTGGTAACTTAATAGTTGAATTCATAAGTCGATTAAAGCTAGATCACCACTGAGAACCTGAAAGCACTGGATAGCCGTTTCGTCCTAGTATGGGACTCCCCAGAGGTGTGTGCTCACTTATGACCAGCTTGAACAGGTATTTCCTAGAGTCCTAGTGAGAAGCGATGACCAATGGAGTTCAACCGTGTCTGTGGTGAGGCAGTTACTCACTGAAGACAGTGGTGGACGGTGGCGTAATATAATGGATTAGTTGAAGTTAGACATTCAAACCCTTAGATGCCAACTTAGTAGTCTAAAGGTTAAGTGTTTGAGAACGAGGCCGAAATCCTTGAGTTCGAATCCCGCAAGAGGGATCTTGGATGCACAGTTTTAAGTCCCATACTAGGACGAAACAGCCGTCTAGTCCTCCCAGGTTTTCCTTGGTGTTCTAGCTTTAATCAACTCGTGAATTCAACTATTAAATAAATATCAGTTGCTAACTGAAAAATATTTTGCATATATATATATATATATATATATATATATATATATATATATATATATATATATATATATAAAGTTTTTAAGCCTTCATTTTTTCATTACAAAAAAAGATATTAAGAATATATTTTTGCACTAGAACAATCGGAATTGTAGTCTAGAAGTTCAACACACCTTATACACATCTTACTCCATGATTGATAGTGATAGTTCCTTTTGGCATAAAGGAATTGTCATGATTTTTAATATATTGACGATATATATCACAATCCAAGAGTATCAATTTGGATGGATAAGACTTTCAGCTTTGATATCTAGCAGATGTAGTACACATGGATAACATAAAGTACCTAGGTACAGAGAAAACGATTGTGACAATATATACCAAACTTTTTATTACTATTGAATGCTTCCTAAAGTCATAAGTAAGGATCTGCCAAAATGTATTGTCTTTTATGATGACAAAATTTCGGAAAATGCCTGATTAAACTTTAATTAGAGATTGAATGAATAACCGTAAGAATTCTTTAATAATGTGAAAAAACACTTGGTTAGAATTATCCAATTTGTTACATTGTTACACGTCTGAAACTAAACAACGTATATATCAAAAATTTCTAAATTTATTTCTTCAAACTTTAGAAGTCCATTGTGCAACTTCATTAAATGTATAAATTTATTTGAAGTAAAGCATATTTCTTTTAACTAGTTGGATGACAACCCTCAGTAATTCCATATTTTAGCGTCTCATGTTTATAAGACGGTAACTACACTTGGAAAAAAACGAATTTTGAATTATGTGAAGATAATATGTCAGTATGCATGATGCACCTTTTCGTCTCTCTTATACTAATTCTTCGTGTCTAAGTAAATAGAAGTTTCTTTCTGAAAAATAAGAGGATACAAAATTTACAACTTCTATTCAATATCAGTAAAATTAGTACGCTTCAGTTTACACACCAAAACATTTTAAAGCATGTTGCTACTCACGATAATTCATGTCATTTCAATTCATATCAGTAGTTCATGTTTAAGGTAGGCTGAAATACAACTAAGTCCGTCTCTATTTGTCTTTACCATAAGTTCAACCAAATGAGTCCTTAACGAGTTCTTGGGTTTTTTTCATCTTCAATTATTTATTTCGGCCATAAAACATCAATATAGGTGTGTATAGTAGAAGGTTACTGAGTCTGTGTATATAACCACCATATACCTACATAAAAACTTAGGAACATTAAGAAGAGAGCTGTAATCCTTTGAGTCTCATATGTCACCTGACAGATGAAAATCAAGAAGCAACATAAAAACAGTTGACTGACACTCGTCATCAACTCATTTCTTGACGTGGTTACACATAAAGGATTTCAGTGAATATAGAAAACTGTAATGAGAATAATGTAAAAGGTTTTAAACACAAAAGAGATCACTTTGGACTCATTTTTAGGGACACTAGATAACTACATATAGACTTTCTGAGTTAGTTAACAAATATCAATACGTGAAAGGTGCACCTGTCAAGATACAAATGCACTTTACAAAATCTTTTGATATTTTATGCACTTGTCCGAACGATATATCAGTTAACAGTTGCACAGACAACAATAAGTAGGCATAACTTCACAACACAGAGCAAGACAACCCAAATCACAGTTTGGATGATAACTACATGTTTGAGATTATTTCCGTTTAAATTACTTTCGTTGTTAAGTAGAGGGATGAAACATTCACTAGTTGACAGCTGTAATAAATTTAAGGTGATTTCTGAATCGTCGTAACACTTGTTGTTTTCGCTTAAATGTTATTAAAAATAATCGATTATACATTAGAAACGAACGAACAAACCTGTCAGAGGTTGTGGTTATTACGGGAACCGTTGGTTTTGAATCGCTGACAGTTATCGTAACATCATACTGTGGAATACCAGTGGAAGCGGAAAATATACTCGTGTCTAAAATTTCATTGATAAAATAACCGCTTTAAACATGGGGTTGCATATGCATATTTTATGGGAGAACTATTTAAATTAATGATATTGTGGTGTGTGCTGCTTATATTGACACAAGTAGTATATGATGTTAGTCGTGAACAGAAGATCTGGCAGCAGAGAGACAAGAGGATCGAACAGCAAAGAGTGGAAACAAGATGCAATTCGTATGAAAATGCAAGAACAATGAATTCTGAGTCATTTTAAGACGATTGGCGGATATTTTGCAAATTAAGCATTTACCTTATTATTGTTAGATTTTATTAACAAGTCCTGTAATGTTGTGACATACATTCGATTGTCCCCACCCATGTTCTGTTCACCACAATATTACCATAAAAATTAGCTATTTCTAGCTGCTTATGCACAACAATAGATCATGGATAGTGATTTGTTAACACTCAAAATTTGAAAACATTTTAAGTTGACGAGTCGTCAGCTAAGTGTACCTATAACATAACTTCTTACTGTTCCAACTAATACTCAAACCAAGAATCTGTCCTTTTAGGCATTAATATTATCTTCAAGGCTGTCCATTTACCATGACCGTTAGATATCTGTATAGCATACGTTTAACTAGCAAACATGCCAGTAGGGACAGGTAAATCTTATTTGTGAATTAACAAATGGAAATAAAAACCTTTAAGAAATTAGGAGCGTCATCTTAGATTCATATGAGCTTACAACCTATGAGTAAATGTTTTATGTGAGACGACTGTGAGTTGATTATTTTTCCATTATAGCATTGGCCAGTAATAAAACAAAGATAATAATATTTACAGTCCTTATACTTCGAGTGCTTTGGATCCTATAGTGAGGTGTGAGCTCGTAAACAATCAGTCCGTGATGACACAAAATCTAGAGTTGTTTTGCTTCTCAAAGCCTAAAACAAAAGCTCTTATTCCAATACATTCAAAGATATGCTTTACGGAATTGTCTGCAGGACATTTTCTATAAGCTGGCTTGCTTCATTAGAGCTTAAATAGGTACTGAAGTCCTCTTTAGGCCACTTAGCAATTCTGTCATAGAATCTAAAATGACCTTCTAAAAAATAATTAGTCCAGAATCCATGAATATGGTTTCATTAGGCAATTGATAAAGCATACAAATACTCCCAGAGCTCATTCATATTAGACTGCAGAAACGTTGGAGTTAATTCATCACCGCTATTTTTAGCAATATTATTTCTTTTTTACTGTGATTTCTAAAAGAAATTAACTAGTTTCACATGTTATAATGATAACATTCTTACAGTTGCTCAGTATCCTCAGTATGAGTACACTAATCAAGGCAAGAAAAATGTATAACCCGGGTCACTTTCACTAACATGTGATCCTACTAAAACGTCTTTGTATATTAAGGATAAATACAGCACAGTAGCATCACAGTGACCAACTAAACGTTTATTCAAAATTACTTTCAATTACACTTTTATAGGTTCAGTCGAGGGAGATAACTCATTTTGGTGACATAAAACTAAACGAATATATACTGGAGCATCTATATATTCCTCCATGTGTAGATTTATTATGCAATGGACAACGGACTAAAACTAGAGACATCCAATTTTACTTGATCACAATCAAAACAAGTGTTATTGAGTATAGTTAAGAAAGTAGAATGTGCAATTATCGCGGCCAGCATGGTGAAATTGACCAGCTTAGATGTACATTACACAATAGGTTATCTAAATGACACCTAATTACGCTTATGGCTGTCTTAAGTATAAATATTGATAGACAGAGAAATATTCAGAGTAATCTGATTTTTGATACACTGGTCAACCTAAGCCTCAATAACTTGTCGCCTGTACAAATCTACTGACGCTGTAAAAATGAGAAGTAGAATGACGGACAACACCGAATATTTTGGTGCTTATTTATATCAATATAGTAATGAAAAATTTAAATTTCGTTAGCTTCCATGAGCATATGAGAAGAAATGTATAAAGACAGATCTAATGAAAAACAAGCATATCATTTAGAGACTGTGGTGGGATTATAAACGATAAATACAATCTTTATAGTCTGAAGGGACGGTCAGCTAAAGAACCAGACGAAATCACGTTTCTCAAATATTTGAATACTTCGGATTCACCAAATGGTTTGTCCTCTAGACAAATATATGGAAATGATGAAACGTAATGCTTGAAATGCTAAATGAAGCAAATTCCTTCACTGTTTCTAATTCCTTTCCAAACGTGAGATTTCACAGTAAAATACTCAACTATGGTTGAAAACTTTGGCCAGGTGTAAGAATTCAGTTTATAAGAGAATCATATTCCTCAGAATGTTTAAAAATCTCAGGTTTTTTATTCTTTTCGATATACTGGATTAATTAAGCAAAAAAATTAGGGAGTAACTTGCGTTCTTCAAGTTGACTTTTGGATTCCAGAAGGTTATGAAAATAATTTGCTGCGAACTCAACCAAATCAGTCGGCTTTTCTGATATAGCCTTCTCCGTGAACTTCTCCAGTAACTCCGGTAATCCCTCGGGTATCATACTAACCAACAATGGAAACAAATTACCGCTTTAACGATAACTGAAACAGAATACAGCTTATCAAATTTAAACAACTTTGTACATTTAAATTTGACGTAAAGTACAAGGACTTAAAACCCTGTGGTGTTCTCATAGGATTTGGTGTACGAATGCATAATCATGAGGAGTGTGTCTGTTGAAGGTGAAGTCATTACTTCTTTTATTTGGAATTAAAACATTTGGTCACTCCGTTTTTAAACTCTCTCATATTCTTTCTCGCCTGTGTTTATTTTAAAGGGGGGGAAGGGAGTGGCGTCAAAGTTTTTGACATTGCTTATGACTGACTGTCGGAACACTGACTGGGAAAGAATAGTAGTAAGTAATAACCTTCAAGATTTAGCCTACAATATTTACCCAGTTACTATCCTTGAAGACCTGTAACAAAGTCCTTTCTCCGAATTATAGACTCTTTTTCCTACATTAGTGGGAATGGCACTCACAATCCCGTCCTTATCATATCTTGTTTAGTACTGTAGTTAAGAGCACACGCCTCATCTTCCACTACTTGCTGCCATATTTTGGTATTGCTTGTGTTAGCAATACCTGAAGTTTGTTAGCATAGAAGTTATCCTTCTGCCTCGTAGATCTGTTTGTGAAATTGTTCTGGGTTGAGCTTACCAAAAGTCGAAACGAATCGTTTCTGAATTAATTTGAAGGACTTTGAGCCACTAACACAGTGACCACTGTCAAGAACATTGTTATGACTGTGAAAAATACTGCGGATTAAGGGGTAGCGAATTATTGATCGGACCAAAGACGCACAAACACGTGGAACGGCCTAGGGTTCTGATTGATCCCGCTTCCCTGTCTAACCCAGCCAGTTAAGTCCAGAACACAAGTCACAGCCTCGGATATATGAATCATTATATTTCAAACATACTTTGTTTATATACCAGTCAAGCAGACCACAACGTACCATAAAATAGAAAATAACATTGTATAATAATGGCCAGTAGGAAAATGACACGTTAAACAAATATTGACCAATAAGATGATACCAGTTCATGTCCAAGGATAGCATTAGGCTTAACAGGATAATTTTTGGGATATTTTCCTGAATATCCCAACAAACATGTTTTCATTATAGACAAGCTGGATATCATTACACGATGTAGCGACATGAACTAGAAGAGGAAAACGAGAATGTTGAGCGTCTGATAAGTCCATGTAGTTTCAACAACATGGTTGTAGGCGACTGCATTTTCTACAACGCAAGTGAGGAATGCTGGTGAGCGGCCTATGCTCCTTCACGAGGAGTACCAGGCGTAAGTAAGTAAGTAAGTGAGGACGAAGTCACAAGTATCTCATTAGACAACATTTCAGAGTACCAGAATAATCACATCTTCGTAAACCAAAAAACAAGAATTTCGGCAGAAGCTGTAAAACCAAACAGAGAAGCTAATATGGCTAGGAATCACAACCTGGTTTTGAGCCTAGCCAAAACTGAAGCTAAAGAAATATTGTACAGTTGAACTTGCTTTATGAGTGGTCGAATGTTCAGTATTCCTTCAACCTCTATTTAAAGTACCTCCAAAGACTCGTCCGCATACACTGCTATGATGACTGGTCCTAGGAACGTCATCCACACCCTCTTTCTAAAATGGCATTTGATATTCTATTCTGGTTCCAATTACACAAAATCTGTCTAAGGCAAGTGTTGGCTCCTTTAAAGCATCTAGATGCACCATCACTCTTATTCACAACACCATGTTCGATAGCACGGCGAATATGTGCTGTCTGCTTCCTCAGGGTCTTAGTTATTGACTTCTTTGTTACAGTGGTCTTTGGCTTATTCGGTGTCTTAACTTTCGGCTTGACGACTTTCTTTTCCTTAGGCTTTCTTAGAGTTGATTTGGATCTAGTAGCAGATGGTGCTCCAGTTTTTGGCTTAGCAACCTTGGGCTTAGCTAATAAAAAGGAACAATAGACTTGACGGGAAACAACACCATATGTAAATTCTAAGGCATCAGCAGAGCCAGTGGTTTGCACGATTCTGGTACGAGACATCTTGGAAGTGACAGTTCACTGAGGCGCTTCATACCTCTAAGCCAGCAGTCCCATCTCATAAAGCACTCCGTAGGAAGCAATGCGTCTCATGCCAGATTTTGCAGACAAGTGTCTTACAAAATTAACTCAGTTGATAAAACAACTGGAGCTACAGACCCAAAGGGGTAAAATACAGGAGCTACAAATTACAATTTGGTTCTTCTTGTAGGAGTCTCATCGAATTCGCACTCTATGAAGATCTTATCCGTTCAAAGATTACACTCTATTCCTACAGTTTTTTAATTTCTTTCCATAGATAAACAAATGTCCGCGTTACTTTCTGTGAGGTCTTTCTCCGGAATAAACTTCATTATTTCAAAATTGTTGCTGGCCCACTTGGTCAGATAAGAACAGTAAACGTAACATCTCCGTCAGCTGAGGGTATACTAATTTAGCTTCTTATAACGTATAAACACTGGTTAATAAAACGTCAATGTAGAACTGTTGCTTCGCTGCCTGTATAATACATTCGAGAAACCTAGCCTCATTATCTAGGAAAGGGCAAGTCTGTACCGCCTTTTCCCAATTTTTTATCAATACAGGCACTACTGCGAATGCTACTTGTTTCTGTGCACGCTTAACCCTTTTCTCAGTATAAAGTTGGGTATTAATGTGGGCAGTACTAGTAGGATCTCTCTGCTCTTCCTATGAAACAAGGTATGGTGTCTCCAACCACATACTTCGACGGCATATGACTTCGGTGCTTGACAGTCTTTGTACAATTAAGGTTGGATGAAGTGATCATCTGTGCAATAGTCAGCACACAATATGCATCTCACGAGACTGCTTTCTCAGATTATCTGGATCAGGTCCATTAATAGCAGTGGTATTCCGCATCCTATCAATAAATGTTTGGGCTAAGATATGTTTCTGACCGAATGCTTTCTCGAGAAGCTTCACCATCACAATACTGAACCAATTAGTTTAACCTAGATCGGGATCCAACGCCTCCATCAAAACAGCCCTGAAAATTCCGTATAAAACTCTAATAGTAATTGAGATTACCATCAAACCTTATGATCTCTCACTTTGGGAGGTCTAAAGCTTTGGATATCGTTGTCATCCAGTCTTTTCCAGGAGGAACATCAACTACATGTGAGATAGATGTAGACTCGTAAGATATCACCTTGTCAGCCATAGCTCAGCTACAATGTTCCCTTCCCTTTTGAAGTAACCTCTCGATCTCAATTTCTCTTTCCAGCTGAGCTTAACCTACTTTAGTATATTCCGACTCTAACAAGGGATCCATTCGGTAGTCGTTTCCCTTAAATTGGTCATCACTATGAGTTTCCTTCATAGTTGGGGAACAATTCACGGGTCTGAACAGTCTTTCGTTTCTGCTCCGTAGACATTTAACAGCACACAGCGTACGGATTTTTGATGAGGTACAAGTCGAAACGTTGTAGGATTTAATTTGTCCTACAGATATACTACTAGAACCGTAAACGCGGAACTGATAAACCCAGAGTCTATGTGAAAGTTATAGTCAGAACAGGGACAAAATCGTTTTAAACTTTACCTATTTCTAAACTTAAAAACAATTATTAGGGAGATTACAGTCATTAAGTAAAACTATGATAATTAGAAGCATTTGAATTATTGTACAAACTACGAATCTCAGAAATAATACAATCGGATCAAGAAGTACTACATAAGCACGAACAAATGTACTGTATTTGGAACTCGAAATCAAGCATTCAACAAGTACAAAGGACTCGTTAGTTTGTACAAATACCACATCCGCCACAGCTTAAATTTGAGACTAAGTGTCTGCAATCGATTGTACGACTTCTCAAATTCATCCTGTGTCTGTCGGACAGTGAATTGGATAAGGACTCTGTATTACTTTGAATGTACTGACTAACATTAGAATTAACAACTAAAATTGGAACAGATTCACCTGGTTCTTGGAATTGTATTTGATCAACATGTCGATTGTGTGTGCTTAAGTCATTGATATCTAGAATTCGCACCATATATTTCTCGACATTCTTTAGAACAATCCTCGTGGATCGTCGAAGATCATTTCCACGATAATATGTAACTTGTGCAGACACCACATACCTCATTTTGGACGAAGAATTCTTCCTTTTAATAGCTTTGATGGAGTCTCTTTCGTCACCGAATGTTTGGCATTTCTATATTGCAGTAGAAAGGTATCTACTCACCTTTCCAGCTCATTAAATGTTGAGGTGGCAATAGAATCAATATCATTTTTAATGTCTTGACAAAATTTTTTGCCTGACCATTAGAATAAGGATGTCTGGGAGCAGCAAACAGATGTTTGTACCCCATACCATTCAACCAGGTAGTGACTGCACCTGCAGCTAAATGATAGCCATTATCTGTCACTGACACCATGGGAACCCCTTTTCGACTAAATACCTTTCTTAATGCTTGGATTATGAAATCAGAATTTGGTGAAGTTGTAAAAAAAATTCAGGCCACTTTGAAAGAGAATCAATGACTACAGGTGCATACTATTCTCCAAGAAACGGACCCCAATAGTCTGCATGAATCCTCTGCCAGGCCTCAAATGATACTGGCCATGGTATCCACTTCGAAGGCTGATTTTTCAACTTGTGACATTTTCCACGACTGTTTACTGTACGACATGTATCTGCACTTACCTCTGACCACCAACATGTGAGGCTTGCCAAAGACTTCATTCTCTCAACACCTAAATGTCCACTATGAAGATCTTCAAGGACAGATTTACGCAATGACGGAGGAATTACAGCAAAACCTTTTAAGCACAAAATACCATCGGGAGTAGTGGATAGCTCATCCCACTTTGAAAAATAGTCAGGAAATCTACCTTTCAAATTATCATTCCAGCCTTTCCGTATAGCACTGACTATACATCCAAAGTATGTACGATTTTCTCTAATGAGATCTGGACGTCTCACTGGTAAAGGTTGCACTAACAAACAGTCTAAAGTATCAACAGGTCTATCTTGTAATCATTGTCGAGAAATGTAGTCAACGTGTTGAATTTGTTTGGCACTTCTGTGCTGAACCACATAGTCATATGCACTCAGAGCAATACTCCATCGTTGAAACATAGCAGCTGAGGAACGTGCTAAGGATTTTTCAGAATGATAAATAAACTTTGAAGCTTCATGATCAGTAAAAATAGTGAATTTCTTTCCGAATAAATATTTATGAAGTCTTTTAACAGCCCGAAACTAGATACACAAAATGAACACGTATCTGATTCACTGTGATAATCTTCTGAAGTAAACGACGCAATGAAGCACATGAAACTGATCACCGAAATTACATTTAGCAGCTTGTTTCTGCAATTCAAGGATGAATTTCTTAACCTTTTGATCATTTTGACGAATCATCTTATGAAACTTCACTCTTTCACGGCATTCAAAATTAATGCATTTTACATGAGGTAGGTTTTTCTGGATATGCCAAAGTTTTTAATCAGCTGTACGCTTCTCTTCCGATGAATATCAGGAAATGTGCCACAATTTTATCACCTTTAACATCTTTCTTAGTCATGCTCCAGATTTCAATCTGTTACGGTAAATAAATCCCCAAAATAAGTAGCTCTGTAAGTTTTCGACATTTGATGCTGACCAGATTAGTTTTAGTGGACTCATCTAGCTGAAGGCGCTCGGTCATGCATCCGCACCAGATCACGTGTGGTAACGCCGTGCTCAACATCAATCGCAATCGCTAGCCAGATTAGATCAGAGAATTCCGATATATTGGTTATCGCCGAATACACTCTTCCGATCTCCTCGACTCTGTCTTTTGATTTCTCTCGGTGGGTACAAATCATATTAGAGGGTGTTACTGGTAGAAACGTTGTCAAATACTGAATACATGTGCCATCATCATAGCCTTTCAAATAATCCTCAAAAGCTTCAAAGGTTGAATGAATATCTATCTGTTCCATTGCAGGCTCCATTGCGATGCCAATATGATAATTATGAGTATTTGAGATATAGCACAAACTAGAAATCTCAAAAATAATACAATCGGATCAAGAAATATTATATAAGCACGAACAAATATACTATATTTGGAATTCGAAATCAAGCACTCAACGAGTACAAAGGAATCGTTAGTTCATACAAATACCACAAAAGCGCACAAGCATACCGACCAGTATTGCGTGTCTTATAAAAATGAATTAGAATTATGAATCACACTAATGTAATACGATAATAACGTCCTTCAGTTGGTAAGTCACAGACACATGAGATTAAATTAACGTGATGGGAGCCTAAGCAATGATTTGATTGGTTAGTTTAATACATAACTAGCACCATTAATGGTCGAATCAGCTCGGAGACTCAAACCTAAGTCCCTTTAAACACCTGCTTAAGCTTGTTTTGATTGCAAACCTCAGAGCAACACCCGGAAACTAGAGACACAACACAACAGAACAAACTGTCGGTACATCTTCTACAACTTAAGAGTAGTCAAACGCTGGGATTCGCTGCTATCCGAGCCAGGCCAAGCAACTTCCCAGAAGTCCTTTAGGAGGAAATTTGGTATATCCCCAAAGACCAAGCACATTATCTTTCTACAGACCACTAGTATTTTTCTCTTTTATCGTTAAACATACTTCGGTCCTTACCTGGGTCCAAAACCCTTTGAAACCCTTTTAGTTATTTTACTTTTCAGTTAATAGTCGGAGCCAACGTTTAATTTTAATTGATCGTAAGGAGATTCCAAGGGATGAACAGTTCATTAAAGTTGAATTAAATCTGGCGAGATTTCAAGTAGTTCCGTTACTGTCCTACAATTACAAGCTGCTAATGAGATTGATTGGTTGCAACACTTGGGATATTTGACATAAGAAGGTTGTACTTACAAACCAAACATAAACTTGCAAACTGCTTGGGGTTATCCTGTCCTCAATACAAATTTATGGAGATGGTTGAACAGTCTCCACGTTAGATTCGATTACAGCAATATATATTTTTTATAGTTATATCTAGTTTAATGTCAACTCCCATGAGTTCAAGTCTTGGATGTGCACGCTTAGAGCTAGTGAGTTAATTTGTTAGGTTTGAATGGTGTTAAGTCAAACTATCACAATGTCCTTACTTCGGGGAAAAATGTGTCCGTTCTGAGGAAGCCGTTGTAAAAAAGTTTGGGGAAATGGCACAAAAGGCCCAAAATTCACCCACATGTGGCGAAAATCCCCAAGCTTTGGAAAAAACTGCTGACTGTCATTGGACTTTTGGAAACCCCGAAATTTCCCCAAAATCGTGTGATTGGGATTTTTGTCCTATGAAATATATTCTAACCTTTAATAGTCATTTTATGAGCGTAAAATAATTCCGCTGACTTCTCAAGGTCTCAAACTTTCATCCTTTAAGGAAAAATTGCTATTCTACAGTCAAAACTCGTGATCTAGGCGGCGAGTTTGGTGATTATTTAATTATCAAATGAAGTAAATATTTAGTGGACTCAGTTTTTCAATTAAGAATGTATTTCAGAATTGCAAGCTCAGGGCTATACTTGATAGAATATATTGGTAATTCTGAAGTAAGTTAATTGTGATGAGTGGTTTTAGTTGCGGTCTTTCCTCTACATTCGTACTTGTTTAGCCTGTCATATGAGTTGCGAGAGAATCCGGGCGAGACTATAATTTATGGATGACTCTTGAGCGACGCTAAAATGACCTTGAATTGTCCACCTACTTACCAGGGTTGAATGGGGTTTGTAGATTAGTGTGAGTAATTAGGATTTACAGCTGACCGTTAGGGTTAGAAATTACATTTGACGTTTTCATCATGAACTGACATAAACTATAGTGCCAAAGTGATATCTAACCAAATAATTGAATGAATTAAAGACTTGCTATCTTAGATATTATTGGTTCGTCCATAAATTATAGTCTCGCCAGAATTCCCTCATAACTACACATACACTCTTTTCTAAGCTCTTCTCGCACGATAAAAAAACTCGGTTTCTAAGTGTCTATACAGTTAATTTTGGTTGTATGACTTGCAGTTGTGTAAAACTCTAAAGTTCTAATGCCCTTCGCGGTCGTTGCGACCACATCTTGAAGGTCTTGGCGTTGCCATGTGATAAAAATGATAAAACCCGTCGTCTTACAAACTGATCACTTTGTTCTCCATTCGAGAGAGAAGAGTCGAGATTTCCATTTGTTCTTCAGTCCCAAATGAAAATCGCAAGTAGGACAATTTAAAACCGTAATCAATGTAGTCTTTGCCCGTAACTCAAATTATTTTATAAGCATACGAAATTTCGGCTGATGTATATGTTTTTCGTTTCCACCTCACTAATAATACCAAGTTATGGTACTTCGCATATATTTTCTTGAAGTTGGGTTTTAAACCTGCTGTTAAGGATCTATACAGTAATAAATATTATTTCTTTAAACAAAGTTTTGTTTCATATAACAGTGCATCTTCTATCCAACGTCACCGCTTATCGTTGAATAGTAAAAAACAGCTCAAGTAACAGTTCAAGTTACTCATCAGGGCTAACCAAAATAGGTGTGAATGTTAACGGTGACTCATATATATAAGCTTTTATTAAACTGATGAATGCAATCAATGGGAGTGGAAAGTTACTTGTAGGTCGGCGAAACATCATGGAAATGAGTACACTTGAGGTAGTGCACACTGGAGCACCACTACTCCATTTTGACAACGCTCTGGTAAACTGGATCGTATGTAAGAATCTAAACTTCACTTAAACCCATTCTTGGAAAAAAATATGTACATTTAACACTCAAATTACCTCATTCTCTATTATTTTGTTATTAAAATTGTCTAATTTATCCACATCTGCAGTATCCTAGTTTAGTGGGCTACTAGATTGTGTAGTTGGATCTGTAATCGTCGAAGAATTGTCTCCAGAAGTATTTTCATCTATCATTGTGAATTAACACAATAACAAAGGACTTCAGACTTGATAAAGCTCCATCTTACCTCAGGGCCTGACTGACTGGGGATCTATTCCGCTTCTGATTTAGTTCAGTTATTTATTTGAACACATAAATATTGATGCAAAGCAGCACCAAATACATATGCGCCACATAAGTCACTTGATTTGTGTGTGGGTTGTGATACTGCCCGGGTGCCTAGACCGAAGCAGGTCACGTGTCATGATGTCTTTTTGTCCACATAGTTTGCCATTCGCACTCGAAATTTTGGTAAATACTGGCTTTTCCCTAGAAAATGGACTTTTGCACGACGTCTTCCAATATTCGATAACCTACTAAAGTTCTGGCACTTGGCGTGTATTTCCCTAAAGTTGGTTACACAGTTTTTCAACCTGATTCTACACAACATTAGATAGCGCGGCGTTATTTTACGTTGTGGTACGTTTTTTAAATAAAATGTCATTTACTGTTGAACAAGTAGACCTCCTTAGTACTTTCGTAATCTATTTGCTGCTCGCGATTCGGTTAAAGGTAGACTCTTTAATATTCATGAATTTTAGGTCAATATTAAAGTTATTCTGATAAATTTAAGGTTATAATTTACAAGGACTAACCATTTGTGTGCATTTTTCCTTCCAAGAGATGGTCCCTGTATTTTATTGTTTCCTATCAATTGTTTGTGACAAATGTGATACTAGTTATTGGAAAAAACTCACGCAACGTGGGATTAGTTAAAAATATGATGTTTAGTTGTCAATTATTAACTCTTAGTTTGAGCTACTAAGACTAGATGACAAAGTTCAGGACCGTTGGATGTTTAGTGCAGATTCACCAAATGATTTTAAATGAATAACTGGTTTTTATAACTGTCAGAAACATAAATTCACCGTCTGTGATAAAGATATTTTAGTGATGCTTAATATGATTTGACGTTGTCTAAATGTAGATAAAGACAGCTATATGAAGCCTTTATTATTTTTATCACACTATCATTTTTAATTTTTAAGTGTTGTTTATTTACGTAATCTGTTTCACTGTTATCACTGACTCATAAACTGCCTTAGTTGGCTCAATAGTTTTACATATGCATACAAATATTAATGTATAATAAAGCCTGATGAGGATCTAATTGAAAGCAATATTGTTTGCTCATTTATGTTGTCCTCATTCACAATATATATATGACCGCAAAGTAAAGTCTCAGTAACATTGCAAAGACAAAATGGTCAGATAAAAAACTCACAGCCCATGAAATATTTGTAAATAAAACTAGAATGAGAACCTAAAATATAAGCAAATGTTTATTAGGGTTATATGATTTTTTAAAATTTAGAGATTTTTCCAGATGCTAACTTCGCAATGTCCACTCTTCTCATCATTTCAGCGAAATACACAATGCACACCTGTAGCAGTATCCGATGGCAGTAAGCTAATAGATAATTAATATTATGTAATAGTGAAACTTCTGCGGTATGCTGTTTCTGTTGGAGATTCAGATAGAGTTTATAAACTATTGAGATTTTCACATATATCACCAATTGACCATGGTACTGATATGCCTGTTATCTGTAAGGCAGCTGTGAAAGGTATGTGCTACTTAGTTCATTATACTTTCCATACTTACAATTACGTATTATAAATTGTATGTTTATATCCAGTCGTGATAAAAACTAATTAGGGATAATTTATTTTCTTTCAAAACGGACTTGTGATACTGATGAATCGTGTAAATTAGCAGGGTTCTGTTCTATTCTGCTTATACTTCAATGTATTCTATCAGGTTCTTATTTTTTTGTAAGAATGATATGTTGATATACTAACAAGAAATATGCTGGTAGTTTGGTACTGTGCAATTCTCAAAAGTTAATTGTTGGTTGATATTGTACACCAGTTATATTTAATAGTATTTACTCATCAACTTTCAGTCAAATAACTGGTTTTCAGTAGTTCTGTATAGTTCAAGCAAGTTTGATTATTTTCCAATAGTTCATGATATAAGTATTTTGATGGTGCTTTAAGTAAGGTATTATCTTGTGTCTACTTACTGTCTAAAACCTTTATGTTTCTTAGGTTATACGGATATTGTTGGTCTCCTTATCAGACATGGTGCATCAGCAAATGCAAGGTCAACTGATGGTTCTACACCCTTAATTTATGCTGCTGATGGTGTAAGACAATTACTTTTCTTATCCTATTTCCCTGACGCTCAATATACGCATTATAACATTTTATATTGAAATAATAGAGATTTTTAGTCCAAGTGGATAAATTTGGTTGTCTTCTCTAGGGTTAGTGGTTTGATTACGTATTTCATATGAAGTAAGTGTTGATGGCGTTATCCAGAACAACAATGAAAGCTCATCCAAACCACTCAACTTAGAGGACATAACACAGTCTAACACATTTCTTGTTTGAGAATCCAGTAAGAAGCGTAGTTAACACCAAACTGTTAAGAAAATAGTCACATCCAATCTTGCCAGTTTATAAATTAACTTGAGGATCTTTATTCATATTAAGGGCATAATTCCTTTGGTTGGTTGATTTCCAGCTTGTCCTTGAATGATTTGATGTCGAGATTCCATAAAATCTATTGAGGTTGTGACCTCAGTTTTGCCTCAAGTTAAGATTTTTTACTTTCAGCATATTTATGGAGTCAGGTATTTTTAACTCTTACAATAATTGTTCCAGAGATTATTCGATACCTTTGTAAATGGGTCTCAGATTGTTCCTAAACACCTAACTACAAAAAAGTGAAGAAAAATCCCATCCATTAACGAGCGTTTTACAACCACGTTTCTATAGCATCTGCCAAGGAATTTCACTGCCCATATGTAACGAATTACCTGACCTAAGTATTAATACAAAAATGAGCGTCCGTTGATTTGACCAGTTCAATAAAAAGTTTGTACAGGGCCACTTGAAACCGTTATTCTTAACCATTAATGTAGACAGGCTTCACTGTTTCGTAGCGTAGATTTATAGAATAAAAACTCGAGAATATTAATTCTTTTTAAAACTACTTTCATTGTTTCTGACACTTAGTTAGTATCACAGTCATCACACATATCATGATCTCAAGAAAGTTAAGGAAACTTTCAAGACCGGGAGTCAGTCAACGAAATTGTCTGGTTCTTAGTCTTTGTAAAATTCCTTGCATTCAGTGGCTACACAATATTTGTGAAGTTGAGGTCGGAGAACTTTTGTTTAGATTTACTGGAGAACATTCAGCCAGTGAAGTAATCATAGAATACGAACTTTAGTTACTTAGATGCTTTGATTCTTAAGGTTTTTGAATTCTTACTGCATTGGTAAAAATATTAAGTGAGAGAAATCGAGATTGAAGATTATTTGTTTGATAAGTGAGGTGGGATAAACCGATTAGTTAAGTGGTTTAGATATTATAAGTCTGCCTGCCATTAATTTATGTACATATGTTGTTGACTGATAACGAGTTCATCATATCTAGTTAGCGAATTACCACAAAGTTTAGACGTACCAATGACAGAAAGCACTAATGGATGTCGTTCTACTCATTGTTGTAATTATTTGTCTATTAAACATATTCTAATAAAAGTGTTGTCACCTAATAATTTTGAAATGATGGATTTTGTGCTTCGATTTTCATGTTTTATATTGGTGTATCATATGAATTCGAACCAAACAAAAAATATAGAGAATTAATATTTTTAATGATTAGTAGATTCCTATAAAACAACTGATGATGCACGCACTTGATTTATGCAGAAGACCTCAATTAACAAGCATACGTGAATAAGTGACAAAACCAGCATTTAGCCTTCTGAGGTGATTAGTCATTGGAATGATCTCTTATGCTCATTGCATCAAGCTTTAACTGAAGTGTATGATGTATTTGGAACAATCTTGCCATATTTTGTGGTGTAGCTTTGTAGGATGTGTCATATTACAATCGTTCTCATTTATCTCTAATTTGAGAGGTAATCAAAATATTCAGTCTCACATAAGATGGTTTTTAATAGGATCTAGTACATGGATTATGAAGTGTAAACATCACTATTTCTTACACATTAGCATATTCCCAGAAAGGGACTCTTCCCTTTATGATTGTTTTTACTTTTTTTGACTCTTGCCATGAGACACGTAACAGTAAACTATTTTATCTAATCCTAGACTGATTAGTTAGTGAGGAAGTAACTATGGTAAACCGTCTTAAGGGCTCGGTTTTCTTGAGTTAGTACACAGGTTCGGATTCAGCTCCGTCTACTTAGGTTTGCGCATCTGGTTAGTATAACTATTTCGGCTACATAAGAAAGCATAACGCAGAGCCGAGAATGTACGCTGGTAATTGGTAGATGAGCTACCGTTTGAGTTGTACATTGGGTTAATTGTTCTAATCTACAAGAGATGTGAAATTCTTGATTAAAATCACATATTTCCTCTTTTCGAGTCACTTGAACTGATCGCGTGTGGTGTAATTTACACATTTAGAAAAGATAACTATTAATTTTAAATCAGCTCTTCATTGTAGCTTTAACCTAGTATTTCAGGATTACTGTCGAGTTTGTCGTTAATATAATCCAATATTATCTGCTTATCAAGTACAACTCAAAAGCGTTGTCAACATTTGTGCAACACTGAAATCTACAAAATTTCCACGGTGTAGGAAGAGCAAGTCCTGCGTATCATGCGTCCGCTTTTTCACTGTAAAATGTGTTATTTTAACTTGGAAACTTTGTTCTTTTACTCAAATACGTATTTTTTTAACACATAAAACTAATCTTTTTCTTCAAAATTCAACCATTCAGGGTCATCTCACTGTTTTATCACTGCTGTTAGATGCAGGAGCGTTAGTCAACACTATTAATTGCCATGGTGAATGTGCTCTTACCCGTGTAAGTTTTTATGGATTAACCATCTGCTTATTTTCATTCTTAGGAAATCTTTTTGAAATATGCATAATTTGAACCATCTTTCCATCGCTTTTTAGGCTACCCGTCGTGGATGGGTTCATTGTGCACGATTTCTCTTAAGCCATGGAGCTAATCCGAATCCGATGCCATCTGATGGGCATACTTTTGTGGTATCACCACTACATTTAGCTCGCCAAATGCATCAAACAGTTATAGAACAAGATATTTTAAAAAGAACAGTTGAGTAAGTATCTAACTTTAGATTGATATTTGTTTTCTTATATTACAATTGTTTCCAACATTAAGATGACTAAAGTTTGGAATAATTTTTGTAGGTAGTTACAAGTTCTTTGTATCAATAGCAGTATGCATGTAAGAACTTATGCTACTTGTGAAGCATGCATATACCGTTTAAAAATTGAATCAAAATCTCTTTCATCCTGAAAGCAGTTGTCCTGAAGTAAGTAAAATGATTAGTCTAAAATGCATCGACAGAAAGAGCGACAAAATTCCGGGTTTTAGCCGTCCTTGTAGAGGATATTATTTGTGCTGCAAATAACAAAATGCGATTAACGAACCAAATCTATCCAGATTATTCATATCTGATTGTGACTAAAACCCTGGTTTTAAACCCTCCCATAACTATTTTAAGGTCTTACGTATTTTTATGCATTGCAAACCATAGTTTTCGTCAGGAGCATTTGGCATTTTAGGTATTCAAGTTAACTGATAAGTGACGATTTTAACTGTATTAAGTATTTACCCTTAATAATATGAAACTACTTTGTTTAGGATTGACAAAGCTGTTGCTGAAATAGTAGCAACGACTCTACCAAATCATTTGACTTTGATAGAACCAGGACATTTACCAGAGACAATGTCTTTGAGTTTGTTTCCTGTTCAAATCTTCTCTTCAGAAGAGCTTAGTCGCTTTGTTTTGTACTTTAAAACACCTCCTGGGTATGGCTCACGCAGTGTACAAATGGGAAATAAAGAATCTTCCAGTGGATCGACACCGTCTGACGAGCTGATATTCGTATATGTGATTCGAGCGCAGTTATCAGTACGTTTTGTGTAATATCATTAAATTTTTTACTTTTGCATTCAAAGTAAGTAATAAGCGATTATTTTATTACAAATGTGTTTTCAACATACATATTTTCAACATCCAATTATGGACGCGTGTAACGCATGTTGTCTACTACTAACTAATATAGTAGTTTTCCAAATACAAATAGCCGTTTTTATACCCTTGAACTATTAAGTTCGCAGATAACTTTATTAGAATTAGTACCGACAGTACAATAGTTAGATTTTCTCGTTTGTGGTGTTAATATTGCTTACACACAACAGCCTAAAATAATAGATCAAAATGGACAAGACAGTAAAAAACAGTCACAATGAAGCAACTACTCATTGCTGCATCACCAATAATTTTGTTTAAAACTCTATTTAACATTAGTACGTACCATGTCTGTCATTATCTAAGCCACTGTATGTAACTTTTATCTCTGGGACTTTTTTTCATAGCACTGATTCCTTTTCGCTTATTTCTATATTCTACACTGTTATCCTTTATTAAACTGCATAACTGATATAGACGTCGAAAATGATCAAACAACCTACCTGTCAAGTTATTACTATAATCATTATTTAAGCACAAATATGCAACACAATAAGAAAATAAGATTGTGAAGAAATAAAGGTAAGTATCGTAAATACATACAATAAGTGAATGAAAGTGAAAAGTAATAGAAGAAGCAGTTCCGTTATTAAAAATACAACCACAAGGAACTTTTTAAGTCAAAGAAGTTCCTCTGACTTTTTTGTAGAAAGTTATGCCAAGATCGTTACTTGCTTCCATTCTGACCTGTCTGATAACGTCTCAAACCGATTTGTTGCATTATCTCTTGAAGCCCAACCAGGGAGTGCTGAAGTAGCACTGAACGACTGGATCGTCATTAATAGTCAGTTATGTGCTATTAAATTAAAAAGTTCCATCAAAGTGATAAGACATCGGTATGAGGAACGATAGAATTTCGTCACATCCCCCTACACTCTGACAGATCGCAGCTCGAATGCTATGAAGAATGGGTTTTACCACCAATTAACTGTTCTACAGAAAGCACATTCGACGGATATTGTGGTGCTCAACGGGGACTTGAATGCTCAGGTCGGGCGGCTAGGCACAGAAAAGAGTCGTTTAGGTGGCCGATGGAAACTTGTTAGTTAGGTCATATAACGATGACCGTCTACTGCAACTGTGCGCATACTACCTGTTTCTGGTTAGCACTAACTACCGACACAGCCATCGCCGACGTGCTACCTGGCCCCCTACCTTTCCATCTCAAGTCTGATTGCATTCCGACCAGCTGCCACTAACGTCGTTATGTACAAAACTGTCGCTCCTTCTAAAGTACTTGTCTAGACGCTGACCATGCTCTTGTTTGTGCTAATCTTACCTTACACTTCAATGGCCAATAAATTCATCATCCTAAACGGATCGATGTCAGCGAATTGGTTGCAGCTTCTGTTGTAACTAAATATCAAACCGAGCTAGGTTCAAGGCTAGCTATCAACCAACTGAAAAATATAGATGAGCATTGGTTGCAATTACATGACGCTGTGAAAATGGAGAGTAAAGTCGCTTGCGGCTTCGAGAAATGTCCCGCTTATAAGCACTGGATTTCTACAGGCTCCTTACAACTCATTGAAGCCCGTCTGTCTACTCCGGCCAACCACGAGTTTGACCGTACACGAAGACTGTTACGAAATGAAATTGGGAAAAGGGCCGATAATCCTGGTGGTCCGAGTGTGCCGATGAGTTGGAGGTAGCAGCCGCATCTGGTGACTGCCGGAAACTCTTCCAACTCATCCGAGTCACTGGCAGCGAGAATCCTGGTGTGTGAGAAGCCGATGATATGCCAACCAATAACATCTGATGGTTTGGACGATGGGCAGTTTGAAATATTCCCATATTGTAAATTTAGAACAACATATATAAGTGAACAATATTGTTTTCGATTAGATCCTCATCAGGCTTTACTCTAATATACAGTAATATTATATGCATACACGAAATTATTAAACCAGTCAAGGTAGTTTATAAGTCAATGATAACAATGAAAACGATTACATAATAAGTGAAACGTGAAAAGTACAAATTGATAGTGTGACAACAGGTGCATTAGTTTTGATAAGAATAATAAAGGTTCAATCCAATGTTACATAATCGGAAATAGGTCAATGATTTGAAAAATATAGAAACTGAGATAACAATTATAAAATTATAAGATAACGTAATAAGAAATGTTCAGATAATTGGACCATGAAACGTATAGTTGAGAGAAAATAAAGTGGTAGGAGGAGGTGAAGAAAAATAATAAACGAAGAGAGAGTTAGAAAAAGAATAAATAAATTCATTTATTACTTAAGGCCAGGGGAGAGATAAAGGTGTTACAAATTTCTTCTGAACACAAAGACTTGGCTTGTTGGCTCGAATTCCTATAGCTTCTGCTATGCGTAAGAGACGAGATCGAACACCATAAGGAAAACTAGTGGGAATACGATAAATAACTTTAAACGACTTGTTTCTGTCCACTATATGACCGCTAAAGATCAAGTGTGATAGAACTGAGCTGCGTATTGTTTTGACGTAACCTTTTCCTAACCACGAAGGGAGGTGTTCACTAACTCGTTGGTTCAGTTGCCTGGTAGTGCGCCCAATATAGCTTTCTCCATAGGAGCAGCTGAATTCGCAGATACACATAGAAGTGGCATAACCAGGTAACTTATCCTTCAATTACGGAATCACCATCGATCGGGTCGAATACGATACGCAGAGGTTGGCAGCATTAAACATTTTCTTTACTGCTCTAGTCAATCTAACCCCTAATACATCGCTAGCTAAATCACCATTGAATTGCAGCTTCAAGAAAAGCGGTTTCTTATTAGCCGTCAGAGTCACTATTTTCTTGTACCCGCAATTGTTTTCTCGGATCATTCAAAATCATGTTCATTTTATTAATGTAATCAGCTTTGTTCATAAGAACTAGCCCCCCTCCTTTGTCCGGCTTGCTTATGATGCCACTTCTGTGTGTATCTACGAATTCAGCTGCTCCTGTGGAGAAAGCTATATTGGGTGCAAACAAGAGCATGGTCAGCGTCTAGACAAGTACTTTAGAAGGAGCGACAGTTTTGTACATAACGACGTTAGTGGCAGCTGGTCGGAATGCAATCAGACTTGAGATGGAAAGGTAGGGGGCCAGGTAGCACGTCGGCGATGGCTGTGTCGGTAGTTAGTGCTAACCAGAAACAGGTAGTATGCGCACAGTTGCAGTAGACGGTCATCGTTATATGACCTAACTAACAAGTTTCCATCGGCCACCTAAACGACTCTTTTCTGTGCCTAGCCGCCCGACCTGAGCATTCAAGTCCCCGTTGAGCACCACAATATCCGTCGAATGTGCTTTCTGTAGAACAGTTAATTGGTGGTAAAACCCATTCTTCATAGCATTCGAGCTGCGATCTGTCAGAGTGTAGGGGGATGTGACGAAATTCTATCGTTCCTCATACCGATGTCTTATCACTTTGATGGAACTTTTTAATTTAATAGCACATAACTGACTATTAATGACGATCCAGTCGTTCAGTGCTACTTCAGCACTAGTGCTTAGTGAGATACCAACGCCAGCAGAACCAGACGAAGATGCCACAGGGTGTCCAGATAAATGCATGTGAAACAAGCTTTTTGAAGCGACAGATGGAGAGCGAATTTGTAGTGCTTCACTAGAGTCTTGAATATGGTCTGGAATAGACAACAGACACTGATATTGACTTTCTAAAGACATAGTCAACCTTATCTGCTGTTCGATCAGTGTGAAAACGTAAAAGACGGCCAGTTCGAATGGTATACGTGGTTTCAGAAAGACTGTTTCAGTGTTTGTGTTCGGCGGTGGCATTCAACTTTCGACCAGTCAGTGACTTGAGATCGTTTATAGAGGACAGGGTTTCTACCATATGTAAGCTGCTGTGTAAATTGAAAAATCAGTCGGTCAGTCAGTAACAACGTAGAACTTTGTACGTAAGTACATCAGTTCGAGTTGCCATACCACATTAGCACAGAGATATAGTTGTCCATTCAAATCCCATAGTGGTAGAGTTAGTAAAACGTAAACAGTAATCGGAAACATTAGGGTCTGAAGATGTTATTCAAGGCGTATAATCCAGTGAAATAAAGTTAGAAAGAAAAAAAAGAAAGGAACATGAAGAATTCAGATGATTAGAATTTGGGAGAACACAAAGAGTGGATGTGTGCTACTCATTTTGACATAAGTAGTATATGATGCTAGTCATGAACAGAAGGTCTCGCAGGGGATCGAACAGTCAAGAATGGTAACAGGATGCAATTTGCATGAAATTCTAAGAACAATGGAGTCTGATTCATTTTGAGACAATTGGTAGACATTTTGCAAATTAAGCATTTACTTTATGATTGTTAGATTTTATTAACAAGTCCTGTAATATTTTGAAACACATTCGATTGTCCCCACTCGTGTTCGATGCACTACAGATGCACCTGCGTCACTGCAAACGATTTTGAGCCATGTCATTCAGGGTCTCCAACCATCGGTTGCTGTCATCTCGCGGTCTCCAACCAGGTAGTCTACACCTACCAACATGGCTCAGTCCACTTGTCAGTGACTTCATGGACTTGTGCCACGTTTTAGTCTGGCCGCCCCTACCTTTCTTCCAATCTACTCCTATGCAACAAAACATCGCTTGTCGAGGCAGTCGGTTGTTGGGCATACGTAACACGTGTCCCAGCCATCTCAACTGATGAAGTTTCACCACTTCATCAATTGATTTGCCATCCATACCTAGTACTCGTTTCCTAACAACTGCGTTACTTACTCGATGGTCCCAGGATATACGAGCAATATTTCGAAGACACCTATGATCAAATACTAGTAACCTACGGATATCCTCTACTCTGACCAGCCATGTTTCACTGCCATAAACTAGGACGGAACGAACTGCTGCGCAGTAAACTCGTCCTTTGGTTGATAGACGGATATCTCGCCTACGCCATAAATGACGCAAGTTGGTAAAAGCTAGTCGAGCCTTCTGTATCCGTGCTGACATTTCGTCACACACCAGACCACAAGGGCTGATGAGACTTCCCAGATTAGTGAAGCGGTCGACACGCTCAACTACTTCACTCCCTATCATTAGTTCGGGTGTCGATGCAACTCAATCCTGAAGCAACATTTTGCATTTCGAGGGGGAGAATCGCATGCCGAACATGCTTGCATTGTTGCTCACAGTGACCAGAAAACTCTGCATTTTGTCAGCGTCTTCACCAAATAAAACTATGTCATCAGCATATTCTAAGTCAACAAGTGAAAGTTCAACTCCTGGAAATTTAGATGAGGAAAGTGTTATCTCTAAAAGCACGTCAACGACAAAGCTATATAAAATTGGATAGAGTGAACAGTGCTGACGAACACCATTTGAGGTAATCAATTCTGATGACAGTTCGCCACAAGCTCTCACTCGACCAGTTGTGTTTGAGTAGAGAACCTTTATAAGGTAATGTACTTCTTTGGTGCTCCTTTCAATGACAAACACTGCCGTAGAACCTTACGATCAACAGAGTCAAATGCTGCTTTAAGGTCGAGAAATACTAGGATTGTGGGGCGTCTGAACGTGTCTGTGTGGTAGAACCTGACGTAGTGTGAATATCTAGTCTATACAAACACGTCCAGGTCGAAAACCAGCCTAGTTTTCTCTAGTCTTCTCGTCACGAGCTCTAGTTAGGCGTCGAAGCATTATTGAAGCAAATATTTTAGACACTACATTAGTCAAACTGATTCCTCTATGATTGTCACAAGAGGACTTTTGTCCTTTCTTATAAACTGGCACAGTCAGTGATTGAGACCAGTCAGTTGGGATTACGTCCAGTTCCCGAATTCTACCTAAAACCTCAGTTAATCCCACTGCTAATACTGGACCACCATCCTTAAAAATTTCAGGAGTAAACCTATACGGGCCTGCTGGTCTCCCTCGCTTCAGATTCCCTATTGCTTTTTCAACTTCGTAAAGGGACGGAGGACTTACATTAACTTGCCATTCAGGTTAACTGGAGATCGTGGGAAACCGAAGTGTGGCTGAAGGCCAGTTGAACTGATCCCTAAAGTGTCCTGCCCATCGATCAGATCTCCTGGATTGAGAATGTATAATATGTCCATCTTTCTCTGAGTGTTTCGCTAACAGTCGGGTTCCTAATAACGGTTTCCTTAACAAGTCTGAACAATTGTCTGCTGTTAACTATTGCCGCTGCCTTTTCCACCTCTTGTTTTCGCTACCCACCACTGTTCACGATCATTGCGTAGACTTCTTGTCAGCTTGCGCTTAAGCTGACTCCGCTCTTCATTATGTTCAGAGCCAGGTGGAATGAGTTTTCGAGCATCTATCAGTGCGATAGATGCTGCTGAGATCCAGTGTTGCTCCCTAACCTTCTGGTTTACCTTACTAGCAGATATCACTGCTGTTTCCACAGCTTTTCGGATATCATTCCATGCTGCCTCGGGATGGGCATCACATACATGGCTGCCTAACTGGTTTTCTATTTGTTCCTGAAATATACTCTTAGCTTGACTATCATTAAGTAGGCCCCTAAGAGGTTTCCTTGCAGCGTCTTTCCTACGTCCAGTAAGACGCAGGCAAATACGCGCTCGTACTAGAGCATGATCTGAATCTAGGCATGTGCTCCAGAATGAGCGACAGTCTTCTATCGAGTCCCTCGATCGGTGGCTGATGGAGATGTGATCTATTTGGGTCCAACGTTGGGACGAATTAGGTGGTCGCCATGTTAAAAGATGTTTTTCCTTATGCTTAAAGTTAGTATTAGCAAGAAACGGGCGGTTATCTGAGCATAGCTGCAACAGACGGTCGCCATCATTTGTTCTTTGAGCCATGATGCTATAAGATCCACCCAGGTGTCTTTCCCTATCGCTTAGTTTATCTACTTGAGCATTACTACATCCGAGCGCCTAGCTTTTCGGAGAAGATAGGAGAGCTTTCTGTACAACTCATCTTTTACATCATCTGAGCTGCAGTCAGTGGGAGAATAGGCAGAGACGACGAGTGTCCCCATCTTTCCGAGTCCTTACTGTTCCGTTTAGTCGGACAGCGCACAAACGACTGTCTTCTGAGATCCACTCTAAGAGAGCTAGTTCTGCCCTAGGACTCAAAGCTATGCCTACGCCGGCGAGGTCACGGGAAGCAGAATCATGGCTTCCAGATACATGGAGTATGAATCGAGTTGGTTCTTTATTTTGGCATGGTGAGGTCAAATGGATGCCGCTACTAGGATCCTGTATGCACGTTTCGGAGACGCAGCACACACCGATGGCGCGAGATTCTAAAGTCCTAGCTAAGGAAGCCTACTGTCCTATTTGGCACAGTGTTCGGACGTTAAAAGCTCCTACGTGTAGTTTCAGGAGACCAGGAATAGCGTTCCGCGTACTCGAATCATTTGCCCTAGCGGTGCGAGGTGATAAAGAGACGCGAGGAGGATTAGTCATGGAGATAAGAGAGGTATTAGGAGGTGTAGGAAGGATTTGAATGTGACCAACTTGGTCTCGTGTGTTGTTACGAGTATGAGGGATGACATCACTTCCCGGCTGTCTACACCGTGGAAGGGTATTTCTTGAGAAACCTGAAAAGGAAATAGGATTAGTGTTGGTCTTAACGACCTGGGAGCGTGACCGCAGAGCCCAAGGGACAACTGCTTGAGGCTGGTAGCGCACGGCGTCTTCGTGGAAGGTTTTTAATGTGTTAGCTCCGTTCTTCAAAGAGCCTTACCGCCGGAGACGGAAATCCGTGAGGTAAGGTGAGGTGTGACATTTTTAGGGTCGACCTTTTCTAACCCCACCCCTCCTTGTGGGAAGGCAGCATCGCTGCAGATGCTGGTTGTCTGAGGGAAACACCTTACTGCTGTCACACCCCTCTACAGTCAGCAGTACGACTTCGCCCTCAGACACTGACTTGCTGCTTTTAGTCTTACCGTTCTCCAATCGACCTGCCTGGCATGGTAGAACCTACAGGAAGATGTTCCAGCCAATATAGCTCGGTTGGGTCATGACGATAGGCAAGCCCGACCACTGTGTCAAGGTAGCAGCTACGGTCGGGCAAATTGAAAAATAAAATACACAAAATGGGAACATATGAATGACGCAATATAAAATGGAAATGAATGTTACCAAATGATTGCAAATTAGTTTGCGGGTATGTTTTTCTTATGAGAGTATTTCGAGAGTGAAGGGGAACTCTCCCTACCTCGACTGTACCAGGGTATATAGGGTTCTATATATAGTAGTTTCTAACTACTATTAGCTCACATTCAACTTGCATACGCCGATCGGTTTAGAATAGCCGTATTCAACTATTTGAATAATATCGAAAAGTTCTAATTAGATTACATATATGCATGCTTTACTTTTGACGTTTTTATCAATAGGACAATCATGTCTCTTGCTGGCTCACTGGACCTCCCATGGAATCATTATCATTGAGCTTTAATGGAACGAAAAAACACTGTACTGTGATTCCCTTGTCTTCTGAGTATTCTGGTATTTGCGTATATTCAGTATCTACAGTAATTAGGAGTGGTGGACTTAATACTCTCTGCCTAGAGCTACGTCCCCAAGACCAATCAATTGGTGAAACAGCTCAGGTATGCTTTTTTAGACATGTTGATATTCACTATGTTTCTATTTTAGTATAATGAGTCCTATTTCATGGTAATTTATAGCAAATGTTGTGCGGTTGAGCTGATTTTAAGCGTGAAGTAAGCAACGTGCAAAAAACTGGCTGTCTAAATGAATATACCTCTTCATTCGGTAACGTATCCACCATTAAGCTGAGATCAGTGCATCCACAACTTAAAAATGTCGAAACATAATGAAACATGATTGCGCTCAGTAGTCGTTAAGTAGCAATATAAATAACTGGATCATCACTTCTTGTCGTTATCGTTACATCTGATGACTTGTAGCTTCAATAATATAAATGGTAGGAACAGTGTTCATCAAACATATTATTGCCTCACTTGATACCCAAGTACTTGTAATTTGTATGTGGTGCTTGGACTAAGATTCAAAGGAACGAAATATCTCTGCATATTGAACTGACTGTAATACGGGTTCTTTAGGCGAATATATTCTTTTTACTTTTTAAACAAACTAGGATTATAACAAAGCACATTGTACAAGATAAAGCGTAATGTCTATACTAAATAGGAACTATATCTATTGGTTTGATTGATCTGTTTCAGAGTGCATCATATGATTCAGTTGTTCTTGTTGGAGCTTACCGTATTCGTCTGGATGTAACCTCTTTAATAATGGCCTCAGTGAATCCAGTTTCCTCAACAGGAACCACTAAAGCAAGCGTGTACATCCCCAGATCAGCCATATGATATTATTAACTACGAAAAATATGGATGTTTTTTTTAACCACTTTTCGGTTCAATTCTATTAAACAGATTATAGTTTTTAAAATGTACTTGACAGAAAATATAACAAGATATAAACGACAGTTATTATACACAAATTATTTTTTACAAAATTCTCATATTTACATGAACGATATTCATATTGAATTCAGAAAGAAAATACTGTACTAAACCGACTGATAATCATGCAATTTTTACAAACAAGTTAGGTGGTTATAATTTCTAGACCATGAGATCATTATTTGTGATGTGATGCAGTAGGTTCTCGAGAAGAAGAGGCTTGTTGTTGTGGATTTGTCTTGTTCTGACGTTGTCGAACACACATAACCAGCTGCTCAGCTGTTACAGGATACATGATACTTTCAATAATGGCTAGCATAAAATATAAAACATGGTTACTGTTTATTAACACTCTTAAATAGCCCCATTTAGTTGTCAAAAGAATTATTACCTTTTTATTGTGTAGCTATTAGATGACTGAACTAGACAGCCACCTATTCTTCTTCGATATGTTGCTTAGTCTTACCGTTCGGAGTACGTATAATTTAATTGTGGAGAGCCCGTAAAACTTAGTATTACCAAGGTACAGTCGTTTGCGTAGATATTGGTTTCTCTGTCATCATTCGTGTAAAAGAAAGTTACGATTTCTCAGAAACTAACAATTAGTACTATAGTGGTCACATTAGCTGTGAGTACGGCTAAAAACTCAAGTATATATTCATCTTTGTGTTTCTCAAGTATTTTTTTATAACTGTTGAAGTGATTTTGTTGATCATTTCTCTTATTTCGAAAGTCCCGGTGGGTGACAAAATCACTATGGTTAAAGCCACTTGATTTTTTGACAAATTGAGAAAACTGAATGAGTCGATCTAAGCTAGACCAGTATTGAAAACCTGGAAGCACCGGACGACCGTTTCGTCCTGGTATAAGTAGGATGTTCTAGTTTACCAAAAAACAAGTATACTGTGCATCAAGCGAATCTGTATTGATATACATCTATAAAAAATGATGTTTGGAAGTAAATTCTGAAGCAATTGTTTACTGATTAAAGTATTCAGCTTTCGATTAGCTCTGTATCACCTACTTCAGTTTAGGAGGCTGGGTGACATTGCAGTGAACGAGAACACCAGTGGAGACGACCGAATCTCTTAGTAAAATCTGAGAACCATACAGTAAATACTTCATTTGCAAAATACCAATCAATCGTCTCAGATTTTATTGTTCCTTCGTTTTCACACTAATCATTCTCTTTTCTACGATCTTGTTAACCTGCCGCAACGCATTTTACTTCCGATTGATGATACATACTACTTATATCTGTAGACATCACTAGCATTCACACCAAGTGGCTCAAATAGGTGAGAAGTGGAATGAATGCGTACGTTGCAAGTATTTGATCATAAGTGTCTCCAAAGCACTGTTTACGTATCGTGGAACCAATTAGCAAGTAATGATATAGGCAACGGTTTGATCTAAGGTATGAATGACAAGTCGATCGATAAGGCTATAGACCTATATCACACTGTTTTCTCTTGAGCTAAACTTTTACAATTTGATCAATCTAAAATACATCATTTTTATTTTAAATCATCTAGATATTTGACAATCGAGTGTATATTTTATTTGATTTTAAACGTTCATAAAATATCAAAAACTCAATAATCAAAACTTACCGACTCCTGATTTGTGATAGTTCGGCTCTGTCTTGTCAGTGCGCACACGTAGAACTTTCCAACCGACACCAGGAACGCATATACATTCTACGATTTTTCCGTCTAAAACTTTATCACGTGAACTAACATGTGCAAGCTTGGCAGATGGCACCGTAAGACCACCAAGAAAGAGATGTCCAATGTAACCCGGAATTTCACTAAAGTAATAAAAAGATGAGTGCAGTTCTCAGTGTACTAATTGATAACGATAAACAATGTTAAACGTCAAACATTTAAATATTACTTACTTATTAACGCCTGTTACTCTTCGTGAAGGAGCATAGGCCGCTCACCAGCATTCTCCATCCATCCCTGTCCTGGGCAATCCTTTCCAGCTCCTTTCAGTTGTTATTCATCCTTTTCATATCTGCTTCTATTTCCCGACGTAGTGTGTTCTTTGACCTTCCTCTTTTCCGATTTCCTTCAGGATTCCAAGTTAGAGCTTGCCTCGTGATGCAGTTTGATGATTTGCGTGATGTATGTCCTATCCATTTCCATCGTCTTTTCCTAATTTCTTTTTCAGCTGGAAGCTGGTTTGTTCTCTCCCACAGAAGGCTGTTGCTGATGGTATCCGGCCAATGGATGTTGAGTATGTTGCGTAGACAGTTATTTATAAATACTTGTACTTTCTTGATTGTGGTTGTTGTAGTTCTCGAAGTTTCAGCTCCATACAGTAGAACTGCCTTGACGTTCGTATTGAAGATCCTCACTTTGATATTCGTTGAAAGTTGTTTTGAGTTCCATATGTTCTTCGATTGTAGGGATGCGGCCCTTGCTTTGCCAAACCTCGCCTTTACGTCTGCATCTGAACCTCCTTGTCCATCGGTGATGCTTCCCAGATATGTGAAGGATTCTACATCTTCCAGAGTTTCGCCATCAAGAGTAATTGGATTGCTGTTCTCCGTGTTGTATTTGAGAACCTTGGTTTACCCCTTGTGTATGTTGAGGCCTACTGATGCAGAGACTGCTGCTACACTGGCTGTCTTTATCTGCATTTGTTCATGTGTATGTGATAGGAGGGCTAGGTCATCTGCGAAGTCCCAATCGCCTAATTGGTTCTGAGCTGTCGATTGTATGCCGTGTTTTCCCTCAGATGTCGAGATCTTTATAATCCAGTCGACCACCAGAAGAAAGAGCAAGGGAGAGAGTTGACAGCCTTGTCTGACTCCGGTCCTTACTTGGAATGCATCTGTCAGCTGTCCTCCATGCACTACTTTGCACTGTAGTCCGTCGTATGAGTTCCGGATAATGTTGACAATCTTCTCAGGAACTCCGTAGTGTCGAAGAAGTTTCCATAACGTCCTCCTATCTAAACTGTCGAATGCCTTTTCATAATCAATGGAGTTGACGTACAGTGACGAGTTCTACTCAACTGATTATTCGACGATGATCTGTAGTGTCGCAATTTCGTCTGTGCACGACTGATCCCTACGGAATCCAGATTGTTGATCTCGAAGTTGGGTTTCTACTGCGTCTTCCATTCGGTTCAGCAACACTCTGTTAAAGACTTTCCCTGTTATTGACAGTAGTGTAATGCCTCTGTAGTTTTCACATTTGCTCAGATTTTCTTACTTTGGGATGTTGATGGGGTGTCCTTCTTTCCAGTCCATCGGTACTTGTTCCTCCCCCCAAATCTTTTTGAATAGAAGGTAAAGCATGTTTGTAGTTACTTCGACGTTTGACTTCAGCTGGTATATTGTCGGGTCCCGCTGCTTCCCCGCTCTTGATTTGTCTGATGGCCATTCTGATTTCTTTCGCCGTTGGTGGATTGTCAACTATAGGAAGATTTGTGTGTGCTGCTTCGATGTCCGGTGGATTCATTGGAGCCGGCCTATTCAGGAGTTCCTCGAAGTATTCTACCCATCTGTTCCGCTGTTGTTGAATTTCAGTGATTGGCCTGTCTTCTTTGTCCTTGACCGGTCTCTCGTGTTTACTATATTTCCCTGCTAGTTTCTTCGTTGTATCGTAAAGCTGTTTCATATTTTCTTCTCTTGCAGCTTTTTCCGCTGTCATTGCTAGTTCTTCCACGTATTTCTGCTTGTCGGCTTTAATGCTCTTCTTCACTTGCTTGTTTGCTTCTATGTACTCAGCTTGTGCTTGAACTTTCTCTGCTTGTGTTCGGCTGTTGTTAATTGCTGTCTTCTTGTTCTTCCTTTCTTTGATCCTGTCCTGGCGGCTACAGTCAGTTGTGGGTTCGCGAAACGTCCCGCTTATAAGCACTGGGTTTCTTCTGGTTCCTTACAACTCATCGACGCTCGTCGGTCTACTCCGAGTGACCGTGAGTTTGACCACAAACGAAGGATGTTACGACACAGCCTTCCTTCTAGATACTGACAAACTCAACTAGTTCAAGATAGACCTCAACAACAGGTTCCAAGCATTACAAGATCGCCTGACAGAAGCAGAAACTACCATAGAGGATAACTGGGAAAGGATCAAAGAGTCACTAACTTCAACGTGTCGGAAGGTTATGGGTCGCATGAAGCATCATCAATTATAAGGAATCGATCTCTATCGAAGCTCTGGACAGGATCAAAGAAAAGAACAAGAAGGCAACAACTAGCAACAGGCGAACAAGAACAGAGAAAGTCAAGACACAAGCTGAATACACAGAAGCAAACAAACAAGTGAAGATAAGCATTATAGCTGACAATCAGAAATACGTGGTTGTCTGGACTATGGAGACCTCAACATATAAGGGGAAGCACGAAATACAATGGAGAGCCTAGATGCAGTTAGACGATTTGTATTTTGCAGACGACCTGGCTCTTCTATTTCATACACACCAAAAAAATACAATTAGAGTAGCAGTAGCCTCAGCAGCAATAAGCCCTAACATTAACAACGGAAGAAGCGATATCCTGTAATACAACACAGGTAGTACAAACCCAATCAAATTTGCTGGAGAAACTCTGGGAGAGGTGGAAAGTAATTACTTAAACACATGAATATTGGTACAAGAGAGCGCCAATATATATGCGCCACACAAAACAATGAGAATTCGAAGAGAAATGGAAGAAAAAAAACTAAGGAGCGCAAAAAAAAGAGAACAATAACGAAGAGATTGGTGTAAGGTAGTATGGTAGAAATGAGGGAACGGAAAGGTACAATCAGAAGAAATCTTTCAGGTAAGGGAGACACAACCACTTTTTATGAAGAAAGTAAAAGAAGGTTACAGCAGGATCGCCACTGGCTTCTATTCTGAGCCATATCTGATAACGTCTCTAGCCACTGTGTAGCACCATCTCTCAG